AATACATGTTCCATTTGAGGTTTTAAATGACGTTCATTTCCTTTATGCGATATGTAAATAAATTGCGCAATGAACAAAAATATATCGGCTGTCGCGTCTCGTTTAAGACGGTCTTTTGGCACATGTAGATTTCGTCGCGAATGTAGCGTCAGCGCCATGAGACAGACGTACCGAAAAAGTACGAAATTCATATAAAAAGTGATGGTCGACCTGAAAGATAAAGTGCGATTTGTTTGATTTTCCATGCTCGTTGCGTTATCACGAATCGATAAGCGCGCGATAAGGGGTACATAAGATATCGGGAGGAGCAGTAAACCGCCTCGTACGATTTTTAAATCGTGAGCGACGAGATACATTATCGCGGTTTCTTTCTTTTTTTTTCTCTCTGTAATACAGTCAGTCAACAGCGTGCCTCGTGGAAAGTTTTCGTGCCGTTTCGCCGCGTCAAATTATTGTTCAAAACTTAGCGCATTTACGGTAATCTAAGTTATGATTAGTCGTAGAAGTAAACGTGTCAATTGCCAAGATATTGAATACTAAAAATAAGAAATTCTTGGCAAAATTATAGACCTAACTTTCATTAAGTCACCGAATTGTGAGATGTGCAAAATTAATTTGTAGGGAAATACAATATTAAATATTAATCCTTATATAAATATTTTTCGTCTTATAAAAATTTATAAAAGTCTTATATTCAATGAAATCTTTCGATTTTTATACCATAGAAAAAGTAACATTTACATTGTTATTGCAATAAAAAGTAACGGTAATCTTTATTTATTCGTTTACATCACTTACATCAATCGAGTAATGAATCTTTTTTTCTTAGCCAGATAAAATTTAATGTCGTAAAACTTCCATGCATCGTTTGAATGTCTTCCAAATAACGTCCGTCGTTTATGAAATTATTACCGTATACGATCCAGGAAAAGGCAATTATCTGTTTTTGCAAGAACCATCTATTACTAACAACTATAAAATCTACGTATTTTCATAGAGACAACGTAATATGACATTTCTCGTTGATTCATGGCTAATAAACTTGCGTGAGACGAATCAATTGTTTCTTACATTAAAATAATTTCAATAAAAAAGAAGAAAGTAATAAGTTATTGATCTTATTAATTAACATTATTAATTTCTTTTTTATAATATTTAGCGAATCAATTAATGGTAAAAAACTCGTTATCAATAATTATGATTATTTCAAAAATCTACAAGTACAATCCTACAATTATATTCTGTCACTTTTTAAAACAAACGCTTTGTTTTCGACTACAATTATATTCTGTCACTTTTTAAAACAAACGCTTTGTTTTTGAAAAGAAGATAGGCCACTGTTCCAGGCACTATTCATACAGATATGAACTACTTTGCAATTATCATCGCGTAACACGTAGAGAGAAAAATCTGTGGAACGTAACGTGCACGTGTAGGGCGTTCGTTTTATCTGCGGTAGAACTGGTCAATACGCGGAGAATCGTAGGAAACGGTTCGGAGATTTTCTATTCCCGATGTGCGAGACGTCGTCGCGAGGCGTGGAGAGCCTGAAGAAGAACGGTGAGGATACAACGTGGCGTACCGTAACATGCCGCGCATGCATACGAATGCAACGCGGCCGTGCGCGACGGCTGAAAAGGTAAAGGTGGGTTCGATGACGTCGCACGGTCGTAAACACCTAGAAACTCGTTATCGTGACGATACAGACGCGCCAAGCGTTGTTGCATCGGTGTCTGCATGCACGGCCGGCTCCGCCAACGAGTAGATCCGCGGGACGAACAGTCCAATCTTCCGACGAAGAAGCATTCTTGACTACCTACGTTTTTTCCCCGATTTCGGTATGTCGCGGTAGGAGACAGCGAGAGACGTGCGGGGGGGGGAGGGGGGAGAGGGAAGGGGGAGGAGTATATGCATTCGCGCGGTGCAGCAGCTGGAAGAAAATCTTGGAGATTTTCTAAACTCGGACTTTAAAAAAGATACTCCAGGTCCTTACAAATTCCGGGAGTTCCATGTAGCAAATATGAAAGTTCAGCGAGAAATTCCATAAATTTAAACCTATCTGTCTTTTTGTTTTCTTCCTCTGTTGTTCTTCCTCATCTTCGACGTACCAAACTCAGTCGCGTGTAAGAGGAATGCGTATGCCATTGCGTATTTGAATATGCGATATACTCTTTATCGAGTTTTAAAAGATTTGTGATGAAGTTAAATTGAAAAATATTTGCCAACAATTATCTTTATTTACAGACATTAATATAATATTTACAGACACAGATTTGACTTAGTCGTGCTTTGCTTTTCTCGTGGCTGATTGTTGCTCGAAGTTGGACGGATAATGTGTTCCGTTGCGTGCTTAGGATAGAGCTGTATATCTGAGACGTATCCGTCAAGTCATCTCGAAAATCGACCGCGAAGGCGAATTAATCCGAGCGTCCAGCTTGAGCGTTCATTACAAGTCGCCAGGCGACTTGTTGATAAATCACAGTGGCTTTTCCGGGGTGACGTTGTGAACATCGTGAATTGTCGCGGTCGCAGTGTGTTTTCTATTTGTCATTTGTATGCACGTGCAGTCCGATCGCGATCAACCCGAGGGGAAAATTTAATATGTCATGATTGCCCGTGTTTTCAATGCCGGCAGATTCGCGAGGCTGACGAGTGTCGCGGAGATCTCGAGAGAATAGCGATGAAAAACAAGAGAGAACAAATAATCTAGTTTTTTTTTTTTTTTTAAATAAGAAGCTGCACATCCAAACAGCATATTTCCATAATTTATCCAGTAAATCATGCAGTTTTTGAAAAATTCTCTTACTTTTTCGTGTCTTGCCATACGTCGAAATTTCCATTCAAAGTCACGTCCACACAAATCTCGGCCAATTGAATTGTTCAACGCCAGCCGATTGTCAATCTTGCGACACATCGACCGGATAGCTTTAACTTGTCACTGCGTCGCCGGACGCACGAGTATTACGTCCTCAAGGTCGTTAGAGATTTAGTTTCAGGCTTTTAATTTTCTCGAACGCCGATGAGCCGACTTCCATGTCGGATTTGTGCCGCTCGGACTCAGGATCAGCCGCTACCTCTGATTAACGCCATTACGTAACACCTCGTCACTAATGGCCACATATATCTTAAGTATGCAGGTATATTCTTATGTACTCTTAATCCCAGACGAGCGAGCGTGCTCAATCTCTGATCCTCCGGCACGTGCATGCATCTGTATATGCATGCACGCGTGCATGTATGCGTGTACGCATCGTTAAAACGTCACAGAGATTTCCACGGAAAGTTGCAGTCAGATGCACTTAAAGCGGAGATTCGCCCGATTAACGTCGAGAATTTTCACACGACTTTCCCCGAGACGCGACATGAAGCGATTTCGGTGTGACTATTACGGAGATTTATGGCCGATTTCGCCACTATTTCAATTAAGATTAAGCCAAATTTAACTCAACTCCGAGGAACATCTACTTCCTAATCTTAGCTACTTCCTAATCTTGGATCTCACAGGAAGGAAAAAAATTTTGCGTAAAGATTTGATTAAAAAATTCTATATTAAAAAGTGTATTCTAGATCATTTAATATAAAATTATAACAAATTTATCTGTCTTCAAAAAACAGGACAATTATATTCACTAATGTACAACTGCTGACTCGCGCGACACGCAAGAAGATAAAAATTCTTATTCGCATCTTATCTGAATCATGTGCCGGATAATCAGATTCAAAGAGAACGAGAGCAGCGAATATATTTCTGTGTGAGAGACTGGTTTTCAAAATCATTTGTTCTGTATTATTTGTTTCAACTGTTAAAGTGCACAAAAATCCATTAAAAATAATTAACTTTGCTATTTGCTCGCAGCGAAAACAGCTATATTATCAGGTACTGAAGTAAGTTTCACGGAAAGTTTCGGGATGATTACAGTGATCCAGAAGATCCATTACAGTCTGGAACAAAGACAATCACCATCTGCGGCACGACCCTGACTGCCATGAGGTTGTGTTATTTCACTTTCAGCATTTCGTTCTAATTTTAGAAAAACGCGCTTTAACCACCAAGACTGGAAATATATAGGTTCACGGAAAGCGGAGTGTGTAAAATAAAGTTCTATCTTACCGCATCGAAAGTGTGAAGGTGTTCCGTAAGTTGAATGAACACAGATAAAAGTTACGTAACATTATCACATAAATGACTTAATATTTAAACATCTATTCGAGTAATCAAATATATATATGTAAATATGTGTAAATATATTGAGTTTATACGTAATATTACAGAATATTTTAAATTATCAAAACTGATATATGAAAGAGAGAGAGAGAGAGAGAGAAACATATTAACTGAAATATAAGTATATGAACTTTATACTGATAACTTAATAATATAAACATTGTATCTTTATTTAAATATTTAATTAGGCAATTTTTTACGTTAACAAAATATAAACTAAATATTTTTTCCATTTGAATTCCTAATTTAAACTAATTTATAAACTGACTTTTAAAGCAAGTTGGTTTACAAGGCAAGTTAATTTACAATCATTTATTTATTCTAAAAATATTTTACAAAAAATATTCCGGAATACGCGATTAATGTCTCCGAAATTATAAATCAATTTAAATTAAAGTACGCTTTATTCTTGTGGAATCATAAAGCTTTAAATAAAAGCTTCACAAAATGCGGGTAATAATAAAATTTGTAATAACGACACATATGTCCAAATTTCTATGACGTGTGTCACGTACGATCTTGCATTACAAAGGTATAATTCATTCACTCATTCGCACAAGAGATTCGCGCGTACACACACATATACGCGCATTTACATACACATACGCAATTCGCGCAAAATTGTAAAAAGAGAAAATGAATTCATTGGTCTCGGACGCAAAACCGTATAATCTGCACATTCTCTGCTGATACTCCCACCTACCGCTTCCTACACGTGCTCTTTCTCTATCTCTTCCTCTTCTTCTTAAGAAACTGCAAGAAAAAAAGATCTTACCTCCCGTAACAGTATTCCGGTATCCCGTTCTTTTACGAACGCGATTGCGATAATCCGCCCTCGAGTCCGCTTCCTTGAAATCAGTGGCGATCGGTCGAAGAAAGAAATGAAGAGATCGAAGATGAAAACAAAAATAAAAAAAATAATATCCGCCACGGATAAGTAGGCGAGGGATAGTCGAGTTCACCCTCGGGTAAAAATCCCCTTCCTCGTAAAAATCGTTCGATCACTCGCGATCGTTCGATCGGGAGGTTCGACCGGCGAGAAGAAAAGGAGCCCGATTGTGGTGTGCGCGCGCGCGCGCACGCTCGCGATTCGCGACTGCTGTCACGCGCGATTCACTTGATCGCGAGGATCGAATGACTACTGCTCCGACCGCGGTGAGATCGAAGCCGCGAAAGATACGATCTATCGCAGCCTGAGGCCGAGTTAGGACTGTGGACTCTGACAGGCTACGACTCCGCTCTCTCGCTCGCGAGGGCCAAGCCTACCGCGACTCGCGCTCCGCACCTCGCTTCTCTCCTGATGCCGGCTACGCGACAACGACCCCACCATCGTGGCTCCTGGTGCACGCCTGGTAGCGCTCGAAGCGGAGTGGTAGGAGCAACCACGCCGCTCCGCTCCGCTCCGCGCCGCGCCGCGCCGCGCCGCGCCGGGCCACGCCGGCCGCTTTCCTCTTGGTGAACCGGCGGAATCGGCGTGACAGAATCGACGAGACATCCGATGGCCGTGTCTCTCGCGACTTAATCAAGGAAAGTGTGAGTATAATATAACGCGTACTGTATGCACGACAGTATAGTGGTGCCAGGTGGCTCGAGTAGCGATGATGCTTATTAGAACCGGTGTCTTCGGCATCGATAAATGTGTCCGGCCATCGCTTCGTGAATCTTCGACAGAAGTTCAATGGATGTTTAGTCGAATTATTACGCAACACGTATAATATCCACGGGACTTTTGCCAGTTGTCTAACACACTACATGGAATCGTAATAGATGCTTAACCGTAGAGCTGAGAGCCGGTACTACAAACTGAGGAGAGACAGAGTAATTTTCTTCCGGGTAATTTTACCTGACGTGTAAGGGAGTTGTTTCTTGAACTACAATTAACTGATCCTGTATTTCTTCCTCATTCTTTTATCGAGAAGAAACGGGGGATTACTTAAAGCTCAGCATTAATTAATATACGAGTAATCGGAAGCGAAATATAGATCGAAGAGCTTGCGTATGTTTTGATTAGAATTCGATAATTTTGTCGATAGTTTTAAAATATAATTATTAAACAGATTCATCTAGTGTATTACGTACATATTTTATATACATATATGTAATATATTATCTCTATTGATGTTTCATTTATCATCACAAGAACTCGTCGAGTATCATCATTAATATGTGGGGTATGTAGAGATAACATTCAATATAATAATAATATCAATGCCTATAAAGCTTGAGATATAATAATAACTAGGTTTCCTGCAAGTCGGAGAATAAGTACAGTTATAATCGCTGCATAATTTTATGTATAAGATATCCTGTGGTATCTTGTACCAGAGGCAGGCAGAAGTAAGATATACATTTAAAGAAATTTAATTAAACGTTGGTTTGTAATAAGATTCATAAAATGTATGGTTTTAGATCTCTTTACAGATTTAAATTATATTGCATTCAGACATAGTTAACATTTCATTAATCGCAATGCATATCGCCGCACATTTGATCTGCCCGTGCTGTAATTTGATATTATATCGTTAATACATCAGCTTTAATTTGTAATAAAAATCTCATTTTATATATGCATGCATGTATGTATATATGTATACATGTGTGTATTTGTTTTTCAAGTATTGTGTGTTTATTCATGAGTTTCCATGGTATTACGCAAAAAAATAATTGTAGAATAGACCGTCGGAAAATATGATTTAGGACAAGCGTTAAGATTGATCTTGCTTTTTTTACGTAATGTTCTAAAACCTTGAACGAAGATTTTGCAACACAAGTTGTTTATTATCTTGGATTTAATCAATCAATTCATACATGGAGGCTGCGAGAGTTTAATTGTTTCTTCATTGCCAACTACTTGTTACTTTATATTTAGATAATAAAATCTCGATGTCGGAAAAGAGTAACCTAAAAGATTGCAGTAAGATTCACCATTTACCAATAATTTTAATACATAAATATAAAAAAAATCTTTTTTGCAGATTATTTAAGAAAAAATCTGCTTCTCTTAATTAATTAATTAATTAATTAATCATGAAACAAGTAAATTATTTAAAGACCTATTTTTGACAATTAAGAAAGTCGCAAAAATCTGAATTATCAATGATGACATTATTTGCCTTACATCGCAGCAACTATTTTACACAATCTTTAACAAATATTAATTACATTTCACGTGATATCATAAAATCGATTCTTGAAATTACGATAAGTCATGCTAGAATCGGTACATTTTATCAAAGATTAAATTCCTCTTAAATGTGCAGAGGGGAAATTCCCCTCTGGGGAACTGCACATTTAAGAGGAATTTGATTGGGGAATCGCAATTTGTTCTTCCAATCCGAAGAGATGTCCGGTGCCAAGAAGCCGGTTTACGCAAGAATGTATGATAACAGTTGCGGAAATGAATCAGGTTTAACTTATCCGGGTAAGGTTAATGTTTTAGGAAAGCATTTAGATAATTTGTAAGAACATCATGCGACGTTGTCTCATAAGTGCAACGATGCGATATGTATAAGCTATCGTTGACTCGGCATGTTCGTCCGGCAATCAAGGTCTTTCATGGTCGCGCGGGATTACAGATCTTTCACCCGGCATTGCACTCTGTTGCAATCGACGACATCGGCAGTCAACCTAGTCGAGAAACATTCTCAAAGAGGCTAAAAACTTTGATTCACGTTATGCAAGTGGCAAAGGAAACAGGCGTTACACTTTAACAAAAAAAATATGTTAATATTTATGTTAACAGATAAATACAAATGCGTTAACAAAATAATTGATACTGCAGATACTACTTTACTTCCCGTACTCGAAAGTTACGTAACTAAGTTCAACAAACAGAAAAATAGAGAAGGAGAGACATAAATTTTAAAAAAGATTAATATCTGGAATGGTTATTAAAACAATAAACATTATTGTTCAAAATTCTTTCTATCTTAGATACGCAATTAAAAATATGAACAATTAACACATTATGTATCGTCATAGGAATCATTGATTCGTTGAAAAAAGTGACGCATTTCTTCTAGATAGGACACGATGCCGATTACTATCGGCGATTTCTGAGAATTGTTAAATTTTTTTCTCTATTTTTAATACTTTATCAATGTATTTGCAGCATATACTAAAAGACATGAATTGTAAAACGCAAAGAAACTCATAGCGCCGCCTTAAAATGACCTCGATTGAAATCTCTCGGGCGATACTGGTGGATGCGTAAGATCCCTCGCTGATCACACGTATTACAATGAGTCAGTCGTAGGCGTATATTTTCTGACCTAGAAAAAGATTCTTGGGAGATTCGACATAGATGGAGAGAGTGAGAAAACGTACAACGAATTGAATCGAACTAAAATAATTGCTTGGTGCGATTGCTGCCACCGATAGCGCGGATCATTACGGATTGACAGAATTAGGACCGTAATACAGGTCAGAGATCATCCAAATCGTTAAAAAAATACTTATCCCACGCAATTAAATATTTTTTTTTAAATAAAGGGAGATAATGCATAAAATATTGAAAAGAATCCCAACATTGAAATCAAAAACAATTCGAATATAAAAACCAAAAACTAAAAATAATCCGAATGGCTTTTCTTTAAAATCAAATAAATTTTTATTCTAAATTGTTGAAAATCCTAAATTGTTGAATTCTCTTTCCTCCCCTTATTATATTGTGAAAATACAATCAATCAGATTCAGTAATGTATAAAGCCAATCGGAGACAAAGGCTGTGGAGACTAAATATGCTAAACATCTGTCATACTTAATGTTAACGCTAGTCTAATCTTACAAGTAGAAGTACATCCTTAGAGGAATATTTAAGAGACTGCTTATCTCAACAACGTTGCTCAGAGTATCGCTCAATCCATGACCAGAGTAGCTTTTCGTGATATGACTTGTAATATTAGCGATTAAGTAATATTAGCTAGCTAAATTGCATGTCGCACGTTATTATATTATACATCGATTATATCACACAAAAATTTATAAATATAAAAAAAACATACGTAGTAACTTTTGATTTTTTTTTAATTATATACCAACTGATTTAATTCATTCAGCAGCACTGTGGTTTTACTGTGACATTATAATCATCTAAAGTCTAAATTAATTAAATGTGTCGTAGTTATAGAAATGTAAAATTTATAAAAATGTGTTTGCACTCGCTTAATCGAGAATAATAAATTAATGAGATATCGAGTGTAAAAGTGTCAAGATTAATACGGGAAAAATACGATCGAATAGATTTTCGAAACTGCGTTGACAGCCGAACAATCGTGTGACTTGTTGCTGATCGGCTAGCAGTACCAAGACGAACGTACGGTAAACGAAGGGAAGGACGAGGAAGGACGAAAACGACGGGGAGGGGAGAGGAGGGGGGAAACCTCGGATTCGAGAAATGTAATGAGGTAACGCGTTGCAACTCAATCTGTCGTATGCGGTCTCCTATACGTATAGATGGGATTTATAATCGTGGTATCCTCGTTAGTCACGGATCACCGGAGGGTTGCCGCGTACAATCGCCCGTGTGCTAACAACTTCGCGCGCGCGATAACGAGCTACGCAGGTGCGCAAGTCCGCCATTCGTGTGACTGTGTGTCTTCTATTCTTTTTTTTTTTCTTATTGCAATCTCTTATTGCTCAATAGCGGCATGAGTGGCACGACTAATGGTCAACTCACGCTAGTAAATAGCCACCGCTACGTACCCTTCCGCAAACCTCTGTTCGGCTCGGTTCCCTTTCCAACGACATCTTCACTTGCAAATCGAAACGCGCGACCGCAAGCGACAACGCGCTCGCCTCTGCGACGACATCTCTCGAGGTGATCTCTTTTGTTTCTCGCCCCAGTTTGTCAAACTCCCGCGGACTCGTGCGTGTTACGTGACTTCGCTCCGAACTGAAACTTGAAAGTCGCCAGTGTGGAGACACCTTCATCCTTGGAGGGAAAGACACAGGAGCCACTTAGATAGAGCCGTAGTAACTCTATAACATAAGCGTGCCAGTTGGTGGCAAATTTGCGGATGCGTGCAATTGGCATTGCCTATGCCCTGCGTCCAGCTCTGTACGTGCGTCCACCTATATATTGGCAGTGGCCGACCGGCGGTCCAATCGACAGCTATGAAGCAGTTAACTTAATATAGACGCACTCGGAATGTGTGCCATTCCGAGGCGACCTCGAGGCCTTCCCTAGGTCAGTGCTAATTCTCGAGAACGGGCCGCATCTTCCAAATTTCCGGTCGGCCTTGAAGATATCGTCAGTGCAAACCAAGTT